AAAAAAGAAAAAAAAAGAGAAAAAAAAAAAAAAAAAAAAAAAGTGGGACAAAGGGCTGCGATCAATCGAGCTCGGTACCGCTGTCTCCACCTCCACCTCGTAGGCGAAGGCGCAACTTCGCAGAGTTAGAGGCTTGGCCAGTCATCCTGCGCACGAGCGCGCGGGCCGCAATCGCGCCCACAGCGACCGCGCCACCGACGAGCGCGAGGCGCATAATGTGCTAAACTTGGTGGTCGTCCGTCCCCTCAGCCAATTCACGGCGCTCCCGCCTTTTCCGATGAGCTACGTTCAATCTCCGTAGTCGGCCACTCCTTCTGATCAGGGACGCTCCTACCTTTCAACCTTGAGCACCTTTACTGGATAGGGTCGATTCCGCATGGTACGCGGGGGACCCCTCGATCGGACGATCGTCTCTCGCCCTCTCTCACTGGGCGGTTCATTTTCTTCTTCTTGTGTTCATTGGGTGGGTCATAAGACATAACACACACGGTACAGGATCGAGGGCCGCCGAAGCAGTCGTTTCAACCTGTTTTGCCCGTTTGTATGCGCACCTTCTGTTCACGTACTTGATGGAGAAGCGCATTGGACTTACTATTAGGATTTCAACGCTGTCTTTGGTCCGACAGCGGACAGGTTCGGCGCCGGCACCGCCTCGAGATATACAACGCGCCTGCGGGCAGACCCTCGCCTTGGGTCTCACTACACCTTGCGGCGCGGATGGTCTGGGACGAGATCAGGCGGGGGAGGTAGCGAGTCGGCCCATTGCGTAGGTGCATAGACGCTTGCGTGGGTGCGCAACTTCTCTTTCGGGGGGGTGGGGGGGGCGGAGGGCGGGGCGGAGCAGCATCGCACGTGGTCGACGCGCGAGGCCATCGCCTCGAGCAGCGAGTTGATCTCGAGCGGCGAGTAGTCGAGGTAGAAGGTGATGGCCTTGTAGAAGATCTCGGTGTTGGTCAGCTTTGCGATCGTGTCCTGCGGCGGGCGGCGGCGGCGGCGAGGCGGTCAGGGGGAAGCGCGCGCGGGCGGCGCGGGTGCGGGTCAGCGCGCGCCTTGAACTTGAGGTGCTCCCACGCCTCGGTCGGGTGGGCAATCATGGCGAGGGCCGCGTTGTCGAACTCGTCGTGGTGGAGGTGGAGGAAGACGAGCTCCTCCCACTGCGCATTCTCCTCGCACGCCTTGAGCATCTTGCGGATGTTGACGCGCGACCAGAAGAGCTTGACGTGCTCCATGAGCTTCTCCTCCTTGTACTTCGAGTAGAGCACGCCGAGCTCCGTGAAGATGCCCATGTGCGCGCGCTCGAGGCCGAGCCCCGCCTGTCCACAGCAAGCCGCGTGAAGTGGCTGACAGCTTTGCAGCACGCTCGAGGCCGCCCCGCCTCCATGACGGCGATGATCTCCTCGAAGTGGCCCTTGACCTCGTACACTCCCACGAGCTCGTCCACCTGCGCGCGGCGGCGGGGCGAGGGGGGCGGTCTCGGGGCAGAGTGGCGGAGGGGCGGGCGCGGTTGGGCGGGGCCCCGCCTCGTCGGGGTTGACGATGATGTGCAGCGCGCAGATCTGCGCCAGCCGGAACTCGCCCGCCTCGACGCACGACGCGTTGACCTCCTTCCACGTGCGCGTCGAGTTCGCCTTGCGCGCGGCGTCGACCGACGCCTGGAACTCGCCGAGCCGCACGAGGCAGGTCGCGAGGCGCGCAAAGTTGGAGATGGAGGTGAACATGAGCTTTGCGGGCACGTACATCTCCTCGGCGTAGCAGCGCTCGGCAACGTCCTAAGGCGCGGGCGGCAGGAGGCGAGGGCGTGTCTCACGAGGCGCGTGTGGGAGGTGCCTGCGGGGCGGTGCCTCGCCTGGATGCGGCCGACGTTTGGCGCCGAGATGAACTCCTCGAGCTCCGGGTGCATCTCCGCCTTTGCGTACGCGTAGATGAGCGACGTGTCGATGTGCGCCTCCTTGACCTTCTTGCGGCACATCTGCAGGTACTCGACCAGCTTGGCGGGCTCGTTGGCCTGCTCGGCCACCGAGATCACCGTCATGTACTCGCTCGTCTCGCCAGCCTTGATGAAGGCGTCGATGGCCGCGACGATCCCCTCGGGCGTCATCTGCGCCTTGCCGAGCATCGTCCACACCTCCGGGTCGTCAACCTTGTCGGCGAACTCGGTGGCGCGCTCGATCGAGGCGATGTAGTCGATGAGCACCTTGGCCGCCTCGCGGTGCAGCTCCGCCTTCTTGAAGATGACGAGCGCCTCCTCGTACAGCTCCGAGCCGACGGCGATGTTTGCGATGTCGGGCATGTCGAAGTTGGTGAGGCGGTTGATGTAGTCCATCACGCGCGTCTTGTCCGCCTTGATGGCGGTGAGGATGAGCAGGTTCTGCAGGTTCCGGTTGTCGGAGAACTCCGAGTTTTGCAGCACGATCTTCTCGAGCAGCTCGATCAGCTCGTTGGGCAGGTCGGCCGTCATGAAGGCCTTGACGGTGGTCGACACCACGTCGGGGTTCTTGGTCTCCGGGAGGGCGACCTGCACCACGGCGTCGACGAGCTGCCGCCGGTGCTCGTTCTCCTCCGTGAGGACGGTGGCCCACAGCTCGAGGTCCTGCCGCTCGACGAGGTAGCGAGCCTGGGGGGGGGGGGGGGGGGGGGAGGTTCCGCGAGGGCTCAGGGGGATGGTCCGGGAGGGGGCGAGCGCGAAAGGCCCCTGCCGCCCGGCGAGGAGGCGCGCCTGCTGCTTGAAGAGGCCGTGCCGGTTGGTCACGTCGATCAGCTCCGCGTCGCACGAGCCGCGCTTGTAGCAGAGGAAGGCGAGGTGCGGGTCGCGCTTCTCGCAGTAGGCGCCGACAACCTTCGAGTCGTAGTAGTTGTTCTGCGCGAGGTACTCCTCGGGCCGGTTGTTCATGTCGATGTAGATCTTCATGAGCGCGTTGTGCACCGGCGCCTCCTGGACGCCCTCGTTGACGCGCGCCTCGAGCCACGGCTGCAGCAGCTTGAGCCGGTTCCGCTTCTCAACCTCCTCGACGAGCTGCTCCGCCGGCGCCATGGCGCGAACCGACAGGATGAGCGCGCGCACGAAGTCCTCGGAGCAGTCGGCGTCGAGGAGGGCGCCGGCCACCTGCGGCGCCTTCATCGGGTTGACCTTTTGCACGTAGAGCTCGATGTACTTGGACATGTTGTTCGAGTAGAGGAAGTGGGTCAGGTCCTCGACCATGTCGTACCTGTGAGACGCGACGCGTCGGGGGCGCGTCAGGCGCGCTGTCGTGATGGAGGCGTCCGGCGCAAGCCCCGAGCTGCGTCGCACCGGTCGCAGACGTTGATGAGCGGCCGCTGGTCGGGCAGCCGCGCCTCCTTGAGGAAGTCACGCACGCGCTCGGGGTCGAAGTGCGTGTCCTCGCGCGTCACGCGCTCGACCTCCTGCAGGTTGCCAACCTTGGCCGCCGCCTCGATGTACTTGAAGTGCACCTCCTTGTCCTCGGTCTGCGTGAGGATGGCGCCGAGGTAGTAGAATAGCCCCTCCCACGAGTTGTACGTGGCGAACCTGCGCCATGCACACGCCAAGGTCAGGGCAAGGTCAGGGCGTGGGGTGCCCCACCAAGGAGCGACAGATAAGTCGGAGTAGACGGGTCTGCGTCAGCGTCTGTCTGCGTCAGCATCTAGGCTTGGGAACATCTCGATCAGCTTGTCGGGGCCCAGCTGCTCCGAGTACTCGCGCGCCACCTGGATCACCGTCTGCAGGTTCTGCCGCATGTTTGTCCGCAGCAGGTGGTTGAGGCACTCGATCGCATTCTCGACCGACAGCGTGCCGAAAAACTTGACCAGGAACTCGGGCGGGATGAGCTCGGTGCGCATCATGGCGCGCTTCATGTCCTCGACGTTGTCGTAGTGCTCGAGCGCGCGCGCGGCGAGGCCCGCCTTCTCGCAGAGCATCGCGATGCGCGGCCGGTCGTAGTGGTGGAACATCTCGTTGGCCATGATGGCGTCGGCGACCTGCGGCGCAGAGGCGGGCGAGAGGCGAGGTGAGAGGCGAGGTGAGAGGCGGCGACGGACACCCGCCTCGGCGATGGCGGGGCGGCGGGCCTGTGGCGCCGCCATCAGGTTCATCTCGAGCAGCCGCGTCTGCAGCGGCCCCTCCTCGGGCTTGTCCCCCTTGAGCACGTCGAGCAGGAAGGACGTAGCCTGCTGCAGGCAGTTGTGCTGCATGAACACGTCCGCCACGACGCCGTAGTCGAGCGAGACGCCGTCGGCCGCCGCCAACTTTTGCGCGAAGTCGAGCGCGCCCTGCGGGTTGACGCGCACGATGTTCGTGAGCAGCAGCCCCCAGTCGGCCGTGTAGCCAACCTTCTGGCAGTAGACCATGATCTTGTCGAACTGCTGCGTCTCGACGAAGGACTGGATCACCTTTTGGTTTGCGGTCGCGCGCAAGTAGACGGAGAGGGCGAGCTGCGCGTCGACCATCTTGATCATGTCGCCAAGCTCCTACAGCCGAGGGGCCGCCGAGGTGGCGTCGAGGTGCGTCCGAGAGGCGCCTCTCTGACCGCGCCGCCGCAGCGCCTCGGTGCACTCGAGCTTCTCCTCGGAGATCCACTTTTGGAGGAGGGCCTGCTTGCCCTGCTGGATGACGGGGCGGGCGAGCTCGACCGACTCCATCGCGTTGAGCTTGCCCTTCTCGAGCAGCATGCCGAAGTAGGTCAGGATCGGCGAGGGCTGCCCCGGCGCCGCTGGCGCCGCCTGCGAGGGGGCGCAGGGCCGGGGGTTTGGGTTGAGCGGAGTGGCGGGAAAGGGTGGGGTGGGGGGTGGGGGGAGGTGTCGAGGCGGCGGTAAAGAAGAGGCGCATCGTCGGGACGGTACCCTCCGCGATCCCCAGCTAGCCGCCCCCGGGATATTAAGCCGTGGCTTTGATGTCCCACCCAGTCGGAGCGCGGCGGCGCACCGGCAAACCCCGAGCGCTCGTTAAGAGTGGTGTTAGGAGTGGTGCCCGCCCCCGCATCCCTCTCCTCCGCAGCGACTCCCTTCTGCCCGCGGCCCCGCGCGCAGCCCCCCGCCCCTTCGGCCCTCCCCCTCGGCGGCGGGGCGGTGCAGGGAGGGGCAGGGGCAGGGAGGTGCTCGCGCCTGGAAGCGCTGGATCGTCTCCGGCGTGCGGAGGACCTGCTGCGGCGAGTCTGCGGCGAGCTTGGCCGCGCCTGTGAGGGCGGCGGAGGCGGGTGAGGGGCGGGTGGCGGCGACGGCTCGAGCGCGCACGCGTGTGGCGGCGGCGGTGGCGGTGTGTGGGTGTGTGGGTGGGGGGGTGGGTCCGAGGTTGTTGCGCGCCCTTGTAGTCTTGCGCGTTCATCAGCTGGTTGAACTGCTGCCCGAAGAGCTGCTCGGCGCCGGGGAGGTTGTTCCGGACGGCGAGCTTGAGCGCGAGGGGGTAGTTGTTGAGCTGCTTGCAGATGTAGGGCACGATGTTCGCCTCGTCCACCGTCACGCAGAGCACCTGCGCGTGGCGATGGCTGGTCCTTTGGCACGAGTCATTGTTCGCGCAGAAGCAGCGGCACGAGGCAGCGAGGCGCTGTGGGTGGTCCGCGGCAGGAGGTGGGCGCGGGAGGGGATGCGGGTGTGGGTGTGGAGAGGGAGGGGGGGGGGGGGGGGAACCTGCGCCGCCTCGGGCGGGAAGTAGATGTCCGCGTTCTTCTTGCCGAAGGGCGCAGCGCCCGGCTCGCGCGCCCCCGGCGCAACCTCGATGACGTGGAGCTTGGCGGCGGCGGCGGTCTTGGCGGCGAAGGTGAAGAGAGTGGAGTCGGAGGTGGCGCCGTCGCACTTCATCTCGTGGAAGGCGGCCGCGTGGCCTACAGACCGCCCCGCCCGCCCGTCAGGGCGACTCACGGGCGCGGTACGACGAGGCGAGTGACGGCGATGCGCCTTCGATCGGCTGCGAAACGTTCTTCTCCTTGGAGTAGAGCTGCATCGCGCCGATGATGCGGTTGGTGCCCGGCTCGGACTTGATGCCGACCAGCACCTGCCGCCGCGCGAGGCGGGTCGGTTCCGGGAAGGCGGAGGGGGCAACAGGGGGTGGGGGGGTCGCGCTGCTCCGCGCTGTCGGCCGGCGGGGGCTGGCGGGGCGGCGAGGCGGCGGGGCGCACCATCCAGTTCTCCTTGGCGGAGGTCTTGTAGTTGATGATCTGGGTGTCGTTGAGCGTCGCGTGCCGGTCGAACATCTTGACGGGCTCCGACTGCCCCTCCATCGACCAGTGGTAGACGGCGTTGCCCGTCACGAGCGCGACGGTCGACGGAGAGATCCACTTCCAGTAGACGACGGGCTCGGTGAGCTGGTGGGACTTCATCTTCGACTTCATCTCCATGTTGAAGATCTGAAGATAGTTGTTCGCCTTGAGCGCGATCACCTTGGACACCGGGTTCATGATCGCCGACTCGGCTGTGATCGGCCGGCGCTGCGGCTCCGTCGGCGTCGCCATGTCGATGATCACCACCTGCACCTGCCCGTTCACCTCCTCGCGGACGCAGATGTACTTCTCGGACTCCATCGTCAGCGAGGCGAAGGAGATGAACTGCGGGTTGATGCCCACATTCGTCAGCTGGACGAGCTGCGAGGCGAGGGGGAGGAGGAGCACGCGTCAGGAGCGCCGTCGCCAGCGCTGTGCAGTGCCTTCCAGCCGCCCCCGCACTCGCGGCGCGGCGCCGCCGGTCCACCCACGCCCCGGCGCACCTCCTGAAACTTGATAGGCAGCCCTTGCGCAGCCATGACCACCTAAGCACACAGAGAAAGCATGTGGGCGGTCGTTCGACGCAGCGTGCGCAGACTTGGCAGCGCAGAGCTGTGGAGGTGGCGCCGCGAGGGTCCGGGGTCCGTCCACTGCAGGCGCGAGGCGTGGAGGTGCCCCTATGGCTTGCGGGGCGGCCCGCGGCGCACCGATGGATCACGACTTCAGACCTTGAACCTCCTCTCTCACAGCGGGCAGAGGCAGGCGCCGAAGGGCAAGGCTCTGTGTCGGTCATGAACAGCAAAAGTAACTCGGGTTTGCGCTGTTTTGGGCAGTGAAAAACGGTGTGAAGGAGAACGCAGCAAGGCCGTTCTGCTCAAACAACTTTCTCTCCAGAGAGAGAAAACTTTTTAATTCGAAAATCGAGGAGGTGGTTATCCTTGGTCTTGTTGCGCCTGCCTGCCTGCCTGCCTGCCTGCCTGCCTGCCTGCCTGCCTGCCTGCCTGCCTGCCTGCCTGCCTGCCTGCCTGCCTGCCTGCCTGCCTGCCTGCCGGCCGGCCGGCCGCTGCTGCCTTCTGACTGTCTGTCGCTGTCTGTCCGTAGAGATTGTGACAGAGAGTATTTGGACCAACAAAACAATGAGTTTCTTCGAGATTTTGTTGCGAGTGTCCGTGCGTGGGTGTTGTAGTCTGCTAGTCTCTGTGCTGCGACCGTGAGCCCGGGGCTGTGCTTTTTGAATGTCTTTTTAGTCCTAGTCTTAGTGAAAGAAGAAGTTAGCAAAGTTGCCGCGGCGTACGCCCGGGGGCTGAGCGTTGCTCGCTCGCCGGCGATGGACAGGCGGCGCGTCCTTCAGCAGGTGGCTCACGAGGCCCATGAAGAGGTTCTCAGGCGTGGTTACCAGTGGGCGGCGCCCAAGGTCGACCCGGTTGCTGCGAGCGCTGCCGGCCAAGACGACAAGCATGGAGAGGCAGCATTGGAGCGCGCCTTGGGGGAGGCGTGCGACTCGCCAGCGCCAGCTCGACCGCCAAAGCCGCTCAGTGAACGGTCGGTGACCGCAGTAGCTTGTGCGGCCGCCATTGCAGCGGCCACCGCGGCGCACCAGCCAGGGCCATGGGTGCCGCTCGCGCCATTGCAGCTCGGTGCAGTGAAGAGGCCACCGCTGGTGGGGTTTTGGAGCGGTCTCCTCACCGCCACTTTCCACCTTGGTATCACGGTGGACCAAATCTGCCCGCGGACAGTCTCGCCAGTCCGAAGACAGCGAGAGCTCTGCGTGCGGCTTGCATTGCTTGCGGCGGCTTCGCTCAGCCTCGGGCTCACCACCTCATTTGGTTTTGCACTGAGCTGCCGAGCGCTCACCGGACTAGCCGCGGCGCCCTTTCAGCGTGCGGTGCGCCACTGCCTCGTCTCTGATCCCGCCGCGCCGCCGCAGCGATCGCTCCTCGACCCAACACGACTGAACGTGGCGGTGGCTAGTGGTGCCAGTTTCCTTCTGCCTCCGATCATCGGGTCCCTGGTGGGCACTGTTCGCAGCGGTCTCGAGTTGGGGGGGAATGAGACTAGCGGCGTCGGCGGCGATGGCCCAGACGACGGCTTGGCCCGCCCATTTCTGGCTCCGTGCCTCGCCTCTGCTGCGCTATGTCTCGGCGCCTCAGCGGCGGCGGTGCTCCTGCCTGCCACGGCCACCGCAGCCACTGCCACTGCGGCCGCTTGCGTCAATGTGGAGCACCACAGAGCCGCGCCTGCTATGCGGGGCGCGGCGGCAGCCCTCAAGGCGGTCGGCGGACGGCCCTCACGGTACAAGCCCCTGGGTAATCCTGGCGGCGGGTCTTTGAGTGGCGACAGCAGATGCGGGAGCGGAAGCAGTGAGAGCAGCGAACCCCTCCCTCGAGCGGCGATCAGTGTGCTGGCGGCCGCCGGGCTCTTGGCCCTAGCTGAGACTGCGTACAACGAGGCGCTCCTGCTCTGGATTGTCTTGGGCACTGGCGCAGGCGGCGACGCCGACGCCGGTGGCCTCGGCCCTCGCTCGGGCGCCGCCTTGCTCAGCGCAGAAGGGCTCGGCGTGCTCGCCTTTTCTCGGCTCGGCCGCCCGCGGGTCGCCGCGCCCGAGACGCGTTGTGTTCGGCTTGCGCTTGCTACCGCCGCCGCTTACGCCTCTTTGCCTGCGCTGCCTCGCCTCGCCACTCCGCAGTTCCTTCTACCGCTCCTCCTGCTACACACTGCGCTCGGCGCCGCCTTGAGCGCCGCCGCCGCCGCCGCCTGCCTCGAGATGCTCTCCGCAGTTTGTCCCGAGGGCGGACAGCGGCGCGTAGCGGCCGGGCTGCACACGCGCGTGACGAGTGGTGCGGCCGTGGCCGCCGCTCCCCTCGGCGGTGCGTGTTTTGCGTGGTCCGTCTCCTCGCCCGCAGCGCCCGTAGGCACCCCGCTTGCCTTTGTCCTCTGTGGCGGGCTGAGTGCCACGGCTGCGCGGGCGGCCTTTGTCGGCGCGCGTGCCGCACGGGCGCAGCGCACAGTCTGCGAGGCGATCAGCCGGGTGGCGGCGCCGAGGGCTCCGAGGGCCATGCCCGTTGCGCCGGAGGGAGAGCGTGTTCGATTGGGCCGCAGCCTGCAAGCAAGTTAACCAGAAATGACTCGGTACGAAAGTGCGGCCGCGAACTCCCCAAAGCGGCCGCCCACGCTTTCTCACACGACGCAATTGATGCACGCGCCAGTCGCTTGGAGACGTTTACACCTTACCTTATATACGGCGGCGCTTTATGCCTTAGTCCTTGTACAGCTTAGCTAGAGCTGTTTAACGTTGGGAGCTGAACAGTGTTGCTAGTGTTAACAGTAACAACAGAACAACAGTGGGGCTCCCCAACAACAGTAGCTAACGTTAGGCCGGCTGAACAACAATAAGGAAGGCCCTGGCAGTGTCCAGTGACCCATCCACGACAATCTCCAGCGTGCCGTCCAGTGCGGGTAATACCCGAAAATACCCGGAAACCCCCAGGTATTTTCGGGTTTTACCCGGGTTTTTGGCATTTTCTGCTTGCTGACCGCTGAACAACAGTAACAACAGTAACAAACAGTAACAGCATATGAGCTGGGGTGAACACACTTGAACAACGTTAAGGATTTCACCCAACACTAGCGCAACTGTTAGGCCCAAAGTTAATGTTAAACAGCTCTACAGCTTACGTACACGTAAGACACGTCACCAACGCCGATTCTCTTTGAAGTTTGATCTCTCTGCGCGAAGGAAAAAGAAATAACATGATACAGGTGTGCACATGGGCTAGTCTACCCGCTCGACGCACCTGCGAGCACGCTAGTCCAGTGCTGCAGCCCCGCAGTGGGCGACCTCTTCACCAGCGTGAGGCGCAGCAGCCTCCCCTCCCCCTGCCCGGGCGCATCCTCGAGCACCCAATCCGAGTCGTCAGGCAGCACCTTCCGCAGCAACGATCCCTGCAGCACAGCCTGGCCGCACACCGCAAGCGAAAGCGAGGCCGGCAGCACGCGGCACGCCACGTCTCTTGCCCTCGCGCCGGCCGGAAGCGGCACCTCAACCACAACCTCGGACACAGTCTGACTCCATGAGAAGCCGTCGCCTTTGCCTGAAAACTTGCTCTCGTCGTCCGGCTCGAGCAGCTTCTGGAAGTAGCGTTCCTCCGCAAGGCCTTTGTGCTGCGGAGTTGAAGCTGTACCAGTGCCAGCGCCGAAGAAGGTCAGCACACCGACAAGCAGGCAGGCAGCGACGATGGCGCCGTGCCACCCGACAGCGCTAAGAGGCGCCTCGTTGCTGCTATCCGGATCGCATGTGGCGGCCGAAAGCGATGCGGCGGCCGCTAGCAGTCGCGACAGACGGGCGGGTTCCATGAAGCTCCAAGCACACGGCCCCTCCCTGGAGGGCAACCTCCAACCGCCGTCAGCAGCCTCGGTGTGAAATACACGAAAGAATCGATCTCAACGGACTTGGTACACCGAGCAGCTGGCTCCGCGAGATTCTGGAGGAGCAGCCTCGAACAAAAGAAAAAGCGCCCGCCGCAAGGGCAAACAGCGCGTTGCCGCCCTACGCACAGATATATACACGTATGTCTGCATCCGCGCTCCGCAGCCCCCGCCAGATTGGACATTCGACGCCCGCCACCGGCTCGTGCGCTTACTTTGAGGACGCGTACCCCGCGCAGCACGCCCGGTGGCTGTCCGAGGGCCGTTTGCTGCTGTACTGCCCCTCCTCGTCCGGCTTTGGCGCGTGGCTGTTTGGCCTCCAGTCGCTCGTTGCCGCGTCCGTCCTGACAGAGCGAGCGCTGATCCTGGCCTGCCCTGGATTCGCCACGTGTGGGGACGGCCGAGGTGTCGAGAGGACCATCCGCAAGTGGTTTCGTGGCAGAGGCTTTGACTGGCAGCCTGAGGGCTGGGAGAGGTTGCCGGGAGTGGCGAGGGAAGGGGAGGTGCCAGTGCCGCCGTCGCGCAGCCACTTCCCCGACCGGTCATCGCGCATGTCGCCGCCGGTCTTCAATGTTGCAGAGTGGCACCTGTGGATGCGATGGCCGCGTCCAATCGTGTACAACCGCACGCATGTATCAGGTCTCCTTGTGACCGACCGCCCGAGCGTGGTCAAGCTCTGCGCGGGGGAGCACACTGCGCCAGACAAGTTCTTCGAGCGCGGTCCGGGACCAGTTCAGAACGCCGCTCTTTTCAGAGCACGGACCGGCATCGAGAAGTGGTCGGTCCGGTCGATGCAATGCGCACTGCGCGCTTTTCTGGAGCCAACAGCCGCGCTCCGGCGCACGATGGGAAGAGTCGTGCCCGACAACGCCCCCTTTGTGGTGATGCACGCCCGGCTGGGCGACGGCTCCATGCAGAGAGAGTCGAGCAGCACGCGCTGGAAGTGGTCGAAGGAGCGGCGGCAGGTCTTCCGCAACGGGACCGCGACCGACGGCGCGCTACGGGGTGTGCTGGATCGCTTTGCGGCGGAGCACGAGGCGCTGCCGCACGTGGTGGTGACGGACACGCAGCGGGTGGCGGAGCTCGCCGAGGAGAGAGGCATGCTCACGACGCGCAAGCTCGGCCGGCCAGTGCACCTCGGGCAGACGGACGTGTCCCGTGTGTCCGAGGACGACGTCTTAGCCCTCTATGCCGACTGGCTCCTCATGCGCCGCGCCGCGCACGCCTACCGGCTCGGCCTATCGTCGCTCATGCTCTCGGCGCGTGTCGCGGCCGGAGACCCGGAAAACATCACCACTTTTTCTTAGAGCCCTCTCCGTGTGTCGGACGTCGCGTGAGGCGTATGTGTTTTTGGCGCGGGCCGCGGCGGCGCGGGTCGTGGCCGTGGCGGCGTGTGGGGCGTGTGAAAGGTTGTTCTCCGATTCTCACGCCGGTAAAGCCGCCGTAAAGCGTATATCTCCGCGCGCGGGTCGCGCTTGTGCTGTGAGATGACCTCGCTTCGAGAGCGAGCCGCCTCCGCTTGAGCGCTTTTTTTTTACTGGTTTGGTGCTTTGGAACGCACTCAGCCCGAGACTCGTCTACTCTGGCGCACCAGACACGGCCGGAGCAAGCTCTCGGGCAGAGCAGCGTCGCAGTCGGCGCTGGGCTGACGCTGGGCGCTGCACGCGCGCCACGCCGGTGCCGCTGCTGCCTGCCGATCGCCTGCACGAGCGAGCGCATCCAGGGAGGAGGGCGACAGTTGGGCGAAGATGCTCTCGCGGAGCTCACAGGGCAGCGCATCGAGACGGTCGGCAGGTGGAACGCCGCCGCTGGCGCCCAGCGAGTGAGAAGGCGACGGCGACGCGAAGAAAGAGGCGTCGATCACCGCGTACGGCGGGCGAGAAGAGGTCATTGAGCACGACACAGCTGTGGCTTGTGATCCGGACTGCCGAAGCGAACTTGAAGCAACTTCTTCACTAGTCTCGGCTTCTCCACATGAACCAAGCATCGGCACCGTGAGGTGTGATACCCATTACGCGAGCAGAGGCTCGAGCTGAGTTCGCCGTGAGAGCCACGGTGGATCCCATGATAGCGTGAGAGCTTAGCATGCCACCAAGGAGAGGGTGGGTGGGAACCAAAGAGAGATGGCGCAGCCGGAGGGCTGGCGCCGTCAGAGAGGATGGAGCGGCCACAGAGGTGGCGCGGCATCAGGTCCCATGAGCAGGGAGAGAGCGCAGCGAGAGCGCCGCGCATGAGGAGCAAGGGCCAAGCGCGCTCGCGAAAGTAGGCGGCGAAAGCGCGCACCAGCTGAAGTGCAAGTTTGGTGTTCACAGCAGCGGAGGCTGAGTGAAGACCGCATGCGATGTGCGCGAGGGCACACGAGAGGGACTCAGGAGAGGTATCCGTGAGTACCCTACGATAAACTAGTGGCCTACCACGAGTTGGGGCCCCCACCCCAATCGTTATCGGCGGACTAGTTTATCTCGGCTTCTCCACATGAACCAAGCATCGGCACCGTGAGGTGTGATACATTGGTGCGTAAAGGGTCAGTCTGGAGTCGCGTGCCTCCACAACGGAAGAGCTACGCAGTACCTGACATCCCAACGCAGAGTGGAGGGAGCGGGTGCAGACGGACCTCGCATCCCAATGAAGCCAGAAGAGGGGCAGATGCGCTCGTGACGAGGAGCGACCCCAGCGTGAAGCCTACATTCACGCCACGCCGCCCACGAGGCGGCACACGAGACGAGGCTCGAGTAGACGAAGAGCGAGACGAGGCTCACACGAGGCGGCGGCAGAGACAGCCGCCCGCCACGCCACGCCGCCCACGAGGCGGCACACGAGACGAGGCTCGAGTAGACGAAGAGCGAGACGAGGCTCACTCGAGGCGGCGGCAGAGACAGCAGCCCGCCACGCCGCCCACGAGGCGGCACACGAGACGAGGCTCGAGTAGACGAAGAGCGAGACGAGGCTCACTCGAGGCGGCGGCACAGACAGCCGCCCGCCACGCCGCCCAAGAGGCGGCACACGAGACGAGGCTCGAGTAGACGAAGAGCGAGACGAGGCTCACTCGAGGCGGCGGCAGAGACAGCAGCCCGCCACGCCGCCCACGAGGCGGCACACGAGACGAGGCTCGAGTAGACGAAGAGCGAGACGAGGCTCACACGAGGCGGCGGCACAGACAGCCGCCCGCCACGCCACGCCGCCCACGAGGCGGCACACGAGACGAGGCTCGAGTAGACGAAGAGCGAGACAAGGCTCACTCGAGGCGGCGGCACAGACAGCCGCCCGCCACGCCACGCCGCCCACGAGGCGGCACACGAGGCTCGGCTCGAGTAGACGAAGAGCGAGACGAGGCTCACTCGAGGCGGCGGCAGAGACAGCAGCCCGCCACGCCGCCCACGAGGCGGCACACGAGACGAGGCTCGAGTAGACGAAGAGCGAGACGAGGCTCACTCGAGGCGGCGGCAGAGACAGCAGCCCGCCACGCCGCCCACGAGGCGGCACACGAGACGAGGCTCGAGTAGACGAAGAGCGAGACGAGGCTCACTCGAGGCGGCGGCACAGACAGCCGCCCGCCACGCCGCCCAAGAGGCGGCACACGAGACGAGGCTCGAGTAGACGAAGAGCGAGACGAGGCTCACTCGAGGCGGCGGCAGAGACAGCAGCCCGCCACGCCGCCCACGAGGCGGCACACGAGACGAGGCTCGAGTAGACGAAGAGCGAGACGAGGCTCACACGAGGCGGCGGCACAGACAGCCGCCCGCCACGCCACGCCGCCCACGAGGCGGCACACGAGACGAGGCTCGAGTAGACGAAGAGCGAGACAAGGCTCACTCGAGGCGGCGGCACAGACAGCCGCCCGCCACGCCACGCCGCCCACGAGGCGGCACACGAGGCTCGGCTCGAGTAGACGAAGAGCGAGACGAGGCTCACTCGAGGCGGGCAGAGACAGCCGCCCGCCACGCCGCCCCACGAGGCGGCACACGAGACGAGGCTCGAGTAGACGAAGAGCGAGACGAGGCTCACTCGAGGCGGCGGCACAGACAGCCGCCCGCCACGCCACGCCGCCCACGAGGCGGCACACGAGACGAGGCTCGAGTAGACGAAGAGCGAGACAAGGCTCACTCGAGGCGGCGGCACAGACAGCCGCCCGCCACGCCACGCCGCCCACGAGGCGGCACACGAGGCTCGGCTCGAGTAGACGAAGAGCGAGACGAGGCTCACTCGAGGCGGCGGCAGAGACAGCAGCCCGCCACGCCGCCCACGAGGCGGCACACGAGACGAGGCTCGAGTAGACGAAGAGCGAGACGAGGCTCACTCGAGGCGGCGGCAGAGACAGCCGCCCGCCACGCCGCCCAAGAGGCGGCACACGAGACGAGGCTCGAGTAGACGAAGAGCGAGACGAGGCTCACTCAAGGCGGCAGCAGAGACAGCCGCCCGCCACGCCGCCCACGAGGCGGCACACGAGACGAGGCTCGAGTAGACGAAGAGCGAGACGAGGCTCACTCGAGGCGGCGGCAGAGACAGCCGCCCGCCACGCCACGCCGCCCACGAGGCGGCACACGAGGCGAGGCTCGAGTAGACGAAGAGCGAGACGAGGCTCACTCGAGGCGGCGGCAGAGACAGCCGCCCGCCACGCCACGCCGCCCACGAGGCGGCACACGAGGCGAGGCTCGAGTAGACGAAGAGCCAGACGAGGCTCACTCGAGGCGGCAGCAGAGACAGCCGCCCGCCACGCCGCCCACGAGGCGGCACACGAGGCGAGGCTCGAGTAGACGAAGAGCGAGACGAGGCTCACTCGAGGCGGCGGCAGAGACAGCCGCCCGCCACGCCACGCCGCCCACGAGGCGGCACACGAGACGAGGCTCGAGTAGACGAAGAGCCAGACGAGGCTCACTCGAGGCGGCGGCAGAGACAGCCGCCCGCCACGCCACGCCGCCCACGAGGCGGCACACGAGGCGAGGCTCGAGTAGACGAAGAGCCAGACGAGGCTCACTCGAGGCGGCAGCAGAGACAGCCGCCCACCACGCCACGCCGCCCAAGAGGCGGCACACGAGGCGAGGCTCGAGGAGACGAAGAGCGAGACGAGGCTCACTCGAGGCGGCGGCAGAGACAGCAGCCCGCCACGCCGCCCACGAGGCGGCACACGAGACGAGGCTCGAGTAGACGAAGAGCGAGACGAGGCTCACTCGAGGCGGCGGCAGAGACAGCCGCCCGCCACGCCGCCCAAGAGGCGGCACACGAGACGAGGCTCGAGTAGACGAAGAGCGAGACGAGGCCGACTCGAGGCGGAGGCAGAGACAGCCGCCCGCCACGCCACGCCGCCCCACGAGGCGGCACACGAGGCGAGGCTCGAGTAGACGAAGAGCGAGACGAGGCTCACACGAGGCGGCGGCAGAGACAGCCGCCCGCCACGCCGCCCAAGAGGCGGCACACGAGACGAGGCTCGAGTAGACGAAGAGCGAGACGAGGCTCACTCGAGGCGGAGGCAGAGACAGCCGCCCGCCACGCCACGCCGCCCCACGAGGCGGCACACGAGGCGAGGCTCGAGTAGACGAAGAGCGAGACGAGGCTCACACGAGGCGGCGGCAGAGACAGCCGCCCGCCACGCCACGCCGCCCCACGAGGCGGCACACGAGACGAGGCTCGAGTAGACGAAGAGCGAGACGAGGCTCACTCGAGGCGGCGGCAGAGACGGCCGCCCGCCACGCCGCCCAAGAGGCGGCACACGAGACGAGGCTCGAGTAGACGAAGAGCGAGACGAGGCTCACTCGAGGCGGCGGCAGCGACAGCCGCCCGCCACGCCACGCCGCCCACGAGGCGGCACACGAGACGAGGCTCGAGTGGACGAAGAGCGAGACGAGGCTCACTCAAGGCGGCAGCAGAGACAGCCGCCCGCCGCGCCGTCCAAGAGGCGGCACACGAGACGCGCCACGCCACGCCGCCCAAGAGGCGGCACACGAGACGAGGCTCGAGTAGACGAAGAGCGAGACGAGGCTCACTCGAGGCGGCGGCAGAGACAGCCGCCCGCCACGCCACGCCGCCCACGAGGCGGCACACGAGACGAGGCTCGAGTAGACGAAGAGCCAGACGAGGCTCACTCGAGGCGGCGGCAGAGACAGCCGCCCGCCACGCCACGCCGCCCACGAGGCGGCACACGAGGCGAGGCTCGAGTAGACGAAGAGCCAGACGAGGCTCACTCGAGGCGGCAGCAGAGACAGCCGCCCACCACGCCACGCCGCCCAAGAGGCGGCACACGAGGCGAGGCTCGAGGAGACGAAGAGCGAGACGAGGCTCACTCAAGGCGGCGGCAGAGACAGCCGCCCGCCCGCCACGCCGCCCACGAGGCGGCACACGAGACGAGGCTCGAGTAGACGAAGAGCTAGACGAGGCTCACTCGAGGCGGCGGCAGAGACAGCAGCCCGCCACGCCGCCCACGAGGCGGCACACGAGACGAGGCTCGAGTAGACGAAGAGCGAGACGAGGCTCACTCGAGGCGGCGGCAGAGACAGCCGCCCGCCACGCCGCCCACGAGGCGGCACACGAGACGAGGCTCGAGTAGACGAAGAGCGAGACGAGGCTCACTCGAGGCGGCGGCAGAGACAGCCGCCCGCCACGCCACGCCGCCCACGAGGCGGCACACGAGACGAGGCTCGAGCAGACGAAGAGCGAGACGAGGCTCACTCGAGGCGGCGGCAGAGACAGCCGCCCGCCACGCCACGCCGCCCACGAGGCGGCACACGAGACGAGGCTCGAGTAGACGAAGAGCGAGACGAGGCTCACACGAGGCGGCGGCAGAGACAGCCGCCCGCCACGCCACGCTCCCCACAAGCGGCATACGAGGCGAGGCTCGAGTAGACGAAGAGCGAGACGAGGCTCACACGAGGCGGCGGCAGAGACGGCCGCCCGCCACGCCACGCTCCCCACAAGCGGCATACGAGGCGAGGCTCGAGCAGACGAAGAGCGAGACGAGGCTCACACGAGGCGGCAGCAGAGACAGCCGGGCTCACTCGAGGCGGCGGCAAAGACAGCCGCCCGCCACGCCGTCCAAGAGGCGGCGCACGAGACGAGGCTCGAGTAGACGACGAGCGAGACGAGGCTCACTCGAGGCGGCGGCAGAGACAGCCGCCCGCCACGCCGCCCACGAGGCGGCACACGAGACGCGGCTCGAGTAGACGAAGAGCGAGACGAGGCTCACTCAAGGCGGCAGCAGAGACAGCCGCCCGCCACGCCGTCCAAGAGGCGGCACACGAGACGCGCCACGCCACGCCGCCCAAGAGGCGGCACACGAGACGAGGCTCGAGTAGACGAAGAGCGAGACGAGGCTCACTCGAGGCGGCGGCAAAGACAGCCGCCCGCCACGCCGTCCAAGAGGCGGCACACGAGACGAGGCTCGAGTAGACGAAGAGCGAGACGAGGCTCACTCGAGGCGGAGGCAGAGACAGACGCCCGCCACGCCACGCCGCCCACGAGGCGGCACACGAGACGAGGCTCGAGTAGACGAAGAGCGAGACGAGGCTCACTCGAGGCGGCGGCAGAGACGGCCGCCCGCCACGCCACGCCGCCCACGAGGCGGCACACGAGACGAGGCTCGAGTAGACGAAGAGCGAGACGAGGCTCACACGAGGCGGCGGCAGAGACAGCCGCCCGCCGCGCCACGCCGCCCACGAGGCGGCACACGAGACGAGGCTCGAGTAGACGAAGAGCGAGACGAGGCTCACTCCAAAGAGAGATGGCGCAGCCGGAGGGCTGGCGCCGTCAGAGAGGATGGAGCGGCCACAGAGGTGGCGCGGCATCAGGTCCCATGAGCAGGGAGAGAGCGCAGCGAGAGCGCCGCGCATGAGGAGCAAGGGCCAAGCGCGCTCGCGAAAGTAGGCGGCGAAAGCGCGCACCAGCTGAAGTGCAAGTTTGGTGTTCACAGCAGCGGAGGCTGAGTGAAGACCGCATGCGATGTGCGCGAGGGCACACGAGAGGGACTCAGGAGAGGTATCCGTGAGTACCCTACGATAAACTAGTGGCCTACCACGAGTTGGGGCCCCCACCCCAATCGTTATCGGCGGAAAAAAGAAAATCTCTCTTCTCTCTCTCTCTTCACTCTCTCTCTCTCTCTCTCTCTCTCTCTCTCTCTCTCTCTCTCTCTCTCTCTCTCTCTCTCTCTCTCTCTCTCTCTCTCTCTCTCTCTCTCTCTCTCTCTCTCTCTCTCTCTCTCTCTCTCTCTCTCTCTCTCTCTCTCTCTCTCTCTCTCTCCACTGGGCACGGGACTGGCGCGCACTGGCACTAAAAGAATTTGAGAACCGGAATTTTACCAGAAACTCCTCCCCGACACTGGGCACGGGACTGGCGCGCACCGCCACCGGGGCCACCGCGGCGCACTAAACAGGCCACCCAGGCCACGGGAGCCGCCTACCTACCTAAGCGACTCCTGCGAGGACGGCGTGCGTGTGCGGCTGTTGAAGGGGGGGGGGGGGTACAGGTGTGTTACAGGAGGGGGTTCATTGACGGGGAGGGGCCTCAGCTGCGCGTGGCATGGAGCGGTTGTGCATCCCTCCGGGGGGGCCTGTGCGCCCCCGGAGAGGAATGTTGGAGGCTGGACGCAAGCGTGTTGTTATCAGTGGAGAAAAGGGCCCGGGCTGCCGTGCCGCCGACGTCTCCCAGTGAGTGAGTGAGACGATGGAGAGAGAGGGGGGACGACACTCGGCCACATCCGCAGCCGCCATCGCTGAGCTCGCCGGCCCAGAGAGCCTGCCGACGGCCTTTGGCGGCTCGTGCGCGCGCCTCTCTGCGCAGCAGGCTGACGCGGCTGGCTGGAGCCGCGTGCCCATCGACGAACGCCGGCGGTTGTGGCAGCAGTCGAAGCTCGCCGGCTACCTGCTGCACGAGGGAGAGGTGCGCGTGGAGGCCGAGGTGGAGACCGAGGAAGAGAAGGCCTTCCACGGCTTCTCCTCGTCGCTCGGCTACCCTCTCCCTCTCGCTCCGGAGCCGGTGAAGCCCGTGCGGCGGCCGTGGTGGGCAGCCTGCTTCCCCATCGCGCGGCGGATCCCGCGGACGCTATCCACGCTCTCCCTGGACGCATGACCGCGACCGCGACCGGCTGAGCCGAGACGGGAGGGGCTCGCTTGCACCTTGCTTCTCTCCCCTGCTCCCCCTCGGTAGCGCGAGGCACCCTCCACTGAGGTGAGCAATCCCTCGCTGGTGTGAGTGCTGTGGTGGTATATATCTCTCGATATTTTTTTATTTTTGCCCCTATTATGTTCGCACGGTCTAGCTGTTCGGCTTCGCTCCACGCTTTGGCTTTCGCGCTTCGCCTTTCTCGGAATACAATACAAACGCTTGATACTTACACTTGTTGCCCGGTCGCGGTATCCGATGTATACCGCAGGATACTGGGCGGGAGATACCGCGGGATCCGGGAGACACCGGGAGAACGGGAGACACCGGGATATTATTTATTGAACTCAATATCTCTCGGTAACTTCGGCGCCTAACGGCAAACGGGGCACACGCTATCCTGTGCAGTCAGGGCAAGTGGGGGCGGGGCGGACAGCCCAGAGTCTATACCCTGGGATCTCTCCGCCCAGTCCGGGGGTGCGTCGAACCTTCCATCACCCTGTCGGAAGCGGCGTGCCGGTGGAGGCACGTCCGGGTTTTGGAAGTAAAGATATATTACTTTTTTTCTCGGTACTTCGGCATCTCGTCTCTCCACTCCGCGCGCCGGTGTGTGATGTCCCTTGTCCGTTGACACCCGCACGAGAGTACGAGACGGCGCGCCCGCCGCCTGCACGTGCCCTGCCTCTCCACCGGCTCGTTCTTCCTCCCCGATCTGACCCCCCCTCCCGCCCGCTCCCTCTCTCCCTTCTCTCCCTCTCCCTCCCCTCCCGCGGCCTCTACCTGCCGCAACTCAGACCGAGTCGATCTCGATGGGCGCGTCGATGCCGCGCTCTCGCTTCGACTTCATGTACGTGTAAAAGAAGTCGAGGTAGAGCGCCTGCGCACGTCGGGCGGCCGTGTGTGGCACGGGACCGCGCGGATCGGGCGCCGCGCGGGGCGGCGAGGAGAGGGGCGGTGAGGAGAGGGGTGGGTAGGAGAGAGGCGGCGAGGAGAGGGGTGGGTAGGAGAGAGGCGGCGAGGAGAGGGGTGGGTAGGAGAGAGGCGGCGAGGAGAGGGGCGGGTAGGAGAGAGGCGGCGAGGAGAGGGGCGGGTAGGAGAGGGGAGAGAGGGGATCGAGCGTGCGGGCGTCGGAGGAGAGGGGCGGGTGCGACTCGCCGTCTGGACAGTGCCCGAGATCCAGACGATGAGCTGCATGTAGTGCGGCTCGGTCGCGTAGCTGCGGTGGCACCACCACACACAGGGGGCGGGGTGGGGCGAGGCCGGGGCGGCGGAGCCCGAAGCGGCGCGAGGCCACGCGAGGTCAGCTCTACTGCTGGCAGGGGTGGCGGCGGGAAGGGGCGGGGAGGTCGGGAGGGTGAGAGGGCACCGGTAGATCCAGTTGAGGATGTAAAAGAGGCGGTACAGCCCCAGCAGCAATATGTAGTGGCCTGCCACCAAAGGCGAGGGCGGTCGCGCCGCGCTGGCCGCGCGCTCGCCTCGGAGGGTGGCCCTCGGGGCGGCGCTAGCTGGCCGCAACAGCAGCGGGGCACGGGCGCGGCTGCGGGGCGTGCGCTGCGTGGCGCTGCGTGGCGCTGCGTGGCGCTGCGTGGCGCTGCGTGGGCGCGCGCCCGTCAGCGACTCCGCGCCGCCCTGCTTCTGCAGCATGAAGAGCTGCGGCAGAATGGCCACCGCCTCGAGGTAGATGGAGAAGGCCCAGCACATCTCGAAGGGTGACTCGTGGTCCTGGTTGAAGGCGACGCCCATCAGCGCGGCCGGAGCAACCAGGTAGGCGATGGGGAAGGCGTCGTCCTCCTGCGAGTAGGTGTCCTTGTGCGGCACGCCGAACTTCATCACGTACACCACCGCCACGGACGACGAGATGAAGATGACCTTCATGATTGTGTTGTAGATGGAGAGAAAGTTCCAAAAGATGTCGAGGTATCGAAAGCAAAATACGATGACGTATAGCAGCTGTGTCTTGAGCGAGATGCCAGCGACGCTCTTGGAGGTGAAGAGCTTCCAAAACATCACGATGAAGGAGAGCAAATGAGACGTGTCCCCCAGCAGCCGGAAGACGTTCATCGCCACCATCGCTCGCCGCGCCAGGTGGCCTCGCAGCGGCCTGCGAGGGCGGAGGCGAGGCGACGAGCGTCAGCAGCCGGGAGCGGGGCGGCAAGCAGCGGAGGGCACGCCCGGCTGCTGGCCGGCCCTGCGGCGCGACGGGCGGAGTACCTCGGTGTGTGTAGTTCGGGCAGCTGTGAGCGCTGTGTTGTGCGAGGGAGAGTCGTAAAATTCTTCTCAAATCCGAAAGTATATGGCAAGCCAAGCGGGAGCGCTCCTCGCGGGATGCTGGCGACTTCTTAATTCTTTTTCATGCTCTTTCGCCGACAGCGCGAGCGTCGAGCTGTGACGGCTCGCTGAGGGCGCACACTCGCGACACTCGCGCGCTCGCGCGGCCGGCAAAACGCCCAAATCGAGCTGCGCCGCGGTTTCTACTTCAATGATAGGGATGCGCTCGGTCCGAGCGCACATTTTCGAGTGAGCGCGGCGCACCCGCAAGAGCGCGCGCGGCGCACTGTACAGACCCAACAGGAACACGACAGAAAACGCGGAGGGACAGAGTAGCAGAGAGTGCAGGGAGGAGTGCGGCGACGCGAGCATGAACGTATCTGGCGGACAGCGGCGCTCAGTCGCGCGCCTTGCGGCACGCGACGAAGGCCCCCACCACCCCGCTGAAGCCGACGCAGCAGTGCCCCAGGCAAGACGTGGCCTCGCCAAGGCGCACGGGGCAGCCCGGCGACGCCGTGGCGCGCTGCTGCTCGGCCGCCTCCTTGTACGCCTTGATGGTCTTCTGCAGCGACTCGATGACGGTGGCCTGCACGGCGACCTGGTCCTCGCGCGAGCGGTGCGCGCTTTTGAGCTGCGCCTCGAGCGACTTAACTGTGGCCTCGGAACGAGTGGCACGTTCCTGCGCCTCCTTCAGCTCCTCTTTCACCGAGTCCAGGTACCACGTCTCGTGAACCTCCTCCGGGTCGAGATCGTCGCAGGGTGCCACAGTAAGCGTCTGGTAGTTCGCGAAAATCGAGCGGGGCGAAATCCTCGACAGCGTCCTCCCGTCGAGGAATGCTTGCACTCCGCCAAAGGTGAAGGGGCTCGGGACCGAGTAGGAGCTTGCAGCAGCACCAGAAGACGTCATCGAACGGTGGAGACTGGCACAGCGCGCGCGGCCGGGCAGGAAAAGGAAAACAATTCCGCGAATCATATTTCTTTTGTTTTAGGTATGTTGTTCGCAAATCAGATTTCACTCCCCCCCCCCCCCCCCCTTCCCCCCCCCCCCCTCCCTCTCCCGCCCACCGAGATGTGATGTTGGGAGAAGGCCTTATGGGAGCAGGAGCAGGGGCGCGACGAGAGGGCCTCCGACGCTCCGAGAGCGTGGCGGGGTAGGCACGGCCGCCTCGATGGCCTCCTGCGCCTCCCCGTCCACCGTGGTGAGCAGGCCGCCTGCGCGTCGCCTTCGACTTGAGCGAGCACGCCGGCACAGTCTCGACATCCGAGAGGGCGACCTCGCGCCGCCTCTCCAGCACGCCTCTGGCGAGTCGGTTGCGCACGATCGCCGCCCGCGCGGCCCGCCGCCTCGGCCACCGCGGCCACCTCCTCCAGTCGACGGCGAGGCGCCTGAGGGCAGGCTCCGAGGAGGGTCCGAGAAGGGTCCGAAAGTGTGCGACCATCTGGTGACAGCGCTCGCGCGCCGAGGCACGTCCAAGCTGGCCGCCTCTGCGCTCATCGACGAAGCCTGCTGTGTGCGGTCACCGTCGCCTGGCGGCGCTCTCGCAGCGGACGCCACGGCGGCGCAGATGCCCCTCGGTGAAGGTGGCGGCGGAGAAGAGGGACCGCCGCGGCTCGTCGAGCAGCGGCACGAGGCCAATATGTGGCCTCGTACAGCGCAAGCGCGGGCGCGTTCCCCTACGGCGCGGCACAACCGCGGGGTCGTCGGCTCGGCTTGGTAGCTGTCTCGGAGGAGTCTCAGAAGTGTCTCGGAGCAGTCTCGGTGATGTCTCGGCGCAGTCTCTGTCTGGGAGGATCTGGGAGTATGTTATGGGAAAGTCTCCAACCAGTCTCGGAGGCGTTTTTTGGTTGCCTCGACTGTCTGGATGGTGTCTCGGTGGTGCACGGTTGAGTCTGAGAGTGTCGGGAAGCGCTCACGCGAGACTCACGGCAATCTCCTCCAAGAGCAGGACCAGCTCTCCTCGCATCTGCGGGAGGTGCATCAGCCCGCGCGCGATGAAGCCGAGGTGCCGACACGTTCACCGCGCGATGAAGTCGCCTATGCACGCACTGACACGTTCATCGCGTGGCCTGGAGGAGGAGGCGCAGCGGCGCCAGCTGAGGATACAGGCCAGCCTTCACCCGCAACGGCCGGACTGGCTGCCACGGTGACGACCGCAACGGTCTTCGTGCACATGGAAGTCGTTCAAATACGCGCCGCCGCAGGCCGCTGCTGCACTGGACGGGAAAACAGGGGAAGCGCGAGTCGGCGACGGCCAATTTGGCTTCTGTCGAATATTCAGAAATTCCCGTTTTTCTTTCTGTATCAACACCCTTGTCTCTCCTGTCAGGGGCAAGATGTCTGGCCTTTACCTCAACCGTGTCTACGGCGACCGCCCGGTACTCGCGCTGTCGCTTCCGCCGCTTCGCCTTCGTCTCCTTGCTGCGCAGCAGGGTGTAGTTCGGGCCCACCTCCGCCACGCTGTCCAGCACGTGGGCGGCGCTCGCCATCTCGACCGCGTCGTCCTCCGGCGGAAGCTCCGCGTCGCCCGCGGCCGCTTCCCGAGCACGCTCGTCGCGCATCCGCTCGTGGTCGGGCCTGCCGACGCGCCACGCCGGTGCCCGTGTGCCTCGCCGCCGCGTCCGGCGCCGGCATCGTACGCTGCCACAGGTCGTCCCACAGGTGTCCCAACCTGAGGGAGGGTGTAGAGGATGTAGAGTGTAGAGCGCTGTAGAGCTGTAGAGCTGTAGAGCGCTGTAGAGCTGTAGAGCTCTACATCCGCCGCGGGACGAAGCGCGTGCTAGAGCGATGTAGAGGCGCTCTACAACGTGAAATCTCTACAACAAACTCTACATCATAAGCCGCGAACGAGGCACGGTCGCTCTCCGACATGAGGCGCGTTGCGCTTGCCAGTGCTGCCCTGGCCTTCTGTCTGCCCGCCCAATGGGTGGCAGGTGCCTCTGCTGCTGTGGCATGCCTCACGGCTGCGACTGGCCGGCGCCTCGGCGACGTGCACTGGCAGGCCCCAGGCTTTCCGCCCGGCGGGTTGAGAGCGTTGCGCTTTGTAGGCCGCCTGACAGCGAGCAGGCTCCACGCTCCAGAGGGAGCGCCGGGAGGACGTGGCCCCCTGCTCTCCGTCCCCGCCGTCTGCGACACTGCTCGTCGTCTGCGAACGAGATGCTGCTGCATGATCCAGGCGCAGCCTCTCTGGCCCGGCCCCGCTCTCCCCGCCCCGCAGCAGCCAGCGTCGAACAACTCGAGGGCAACAAGACGCGGTCGTGGACGGGTTCTGTCGGCTCCTTTGGAGCGGGGATCGTATCCACGTCGCGGACACGACATCGTCTTTTTCCAGATTGCAGCGGCCCGTTCCCTGAATCGTCCCTGTGCGGCCCTCACCCCACTGTTGATTCCCTCCTCTCAGGAGAGCCAAGCAGAGCAGTCCGCGACGCTGCATCCCACCCTCCTCCATGACAGTGCTGGTCTCCAGGCACGCGCCTCCTCCCGCCTCCCAGCCCAGCCCCGCAGCGGCCAGCCAGCAGCAGCAGCAGCAGCAGCAGCCAGCGTCGAACAACTCGAGGGCAACAAGTCGCGGTCGTGGACGGGTTCTGTCGGCTCCTTTGGAGCGGGGATCGTATCCACGTCGCGGACACGACATCGTCTTTTTCCAGATTGCAGCGCCCCGTCCCTCGAGCCTTCACTCTGCAATCAATGTCGCCCTCACGCGACTCTCTCCCCCTTGCTCTGGCCAGGCGTTTCCCACCTCGCCGCGCGACTCGTCGCGCGACACGGAGCGGATAAAGTGGGGAATCGTGTTTTTCTCCGTGCCCAGATGACTAGGGACCCTGCCATGCTAAGCCTATGGGCTGCAAGTCGGGCTCACCAAGCGGGTAGGGGAGGGGGGGGGTAGGTTCTCTCGAGGTTCTCGAGGTGGATATCCTTTGGCCGCGTTGGGTAGCGAGGATTGGTGTGACGCGATCCACGCAGGCGTGTAGGTAAAAGACAGCGCAGGTATTTTCTTCTGGGGGCAACCCGCTTTGTGTTTCGACCTGTGTAAAATTCTCATGAACCGGTGCCCTTGGAGCACTTGGAGTGCGGTCGGCAACCTCACGCCCAGGACCGGGGAGCTGAGAAGCGCACCGTGAACTTACTCTAGTCCTGTGCCCAGTGTCGTGCGAGGGAGTTTTGTTGTAAAATTCTACTACTCGAGTAGTAAAGGCGACAAGGTCGGCAGTGAGTCACGCGGCAGTGAGTCTGCGCTGGCGGCCAAGCAGTGAGTCTTCTGTGTGTCCCGTCCTACCAGAGAAAAGTGGTGGCCTCGGAGTGCAGCCGGCGAGCCAAGCGCTACTCTGCGAATACGAAGGCGTGGTTCTCCACCGTGGCCGCGCGCTGAGGCTACGACAGCAGCCACCGAAAGAAGAGGCAGCGCGGAAGGACCGCAGCATGAGGCCGGTAAACGGAACCGCGATGGCCGTGCCGGTGTCGCGTGTAACTTCGCCGCCCGCGGAGGCCGTCGGCTCGACGCGCGTCATGCACCCGCACATGCACAGGATGAGACTCGTGCTTCGATCAGGCCCGACATCATCAACAAGTGGCCGAGTTACACTGCACCGCACAACGAGAGTGGCCGCATGGGCCTAGGCAGGCTATGTGGTATAAGAACTCCACGTTCTCTTGCCCGCAGGTTGAGCCGTTGATCTGACAGGGCCCGGTGGCAGCCGTCGTGACCTCGCACCCCCGTGTCACGCTTTTAATATGCTCAACCTGGAGTCGTGGGTGCTCGAGCGACGCGAGTGTGTGACTGTGGTGCTGAATCTAGTTTGTTGAACTCACGGGAGTAGCGGGACCTGCCACAGGTACTTCGATTGGCGGCTCGGCTCACACACTAGCCTAGTGCACTATCCCCACCCACAGTGCGTTATATCAGTAGCCTGCGCAGGGGCGGCTCGCGTGTTCCATCTCTCACGCTCACTATATACAACGTCAAGCGCGGCGCGGCAGCATGGGCCATGGCGTGGTCAGCGAAGCTGCGGCGCGTACCACCATTCGTCGCCAAGCCGCTCGTCCACCCACACCTCCTCCCCCTCCTCGTCGAAGGCGATCAACATGCCCTTCGAGCTCGACACCTGCACGACCACCCCGCTGTACTCCTTGTCAACCGACATGCCGGAGTCCTCCTCCTCCTCCTTGTAGACGACCACCACGCGCGCTCCAGCTTTGGCCTTGGTGGCCTTCGGCTGCCCCGACTCGTCCTCCTCCATGGCCTCCAGCTCGTCGAGCATCTCCTGGTCGTAGACTGCCTGCTCGAGCTCCTCCTCGTACTTGGCGTCGCGGTCGAGCTGCGGGAGGAGGCGTGCGGTGTAGCACGAGGTGCGTGTGGCGTGTGCGTGTGCGTGTGCATGTACGTGTGTGTGCCTCATGCTGCCGCCATGCCCCCAGGTCTTGCCGCGTCCCTGCTCCGTACGCCTACATGTGGTCATGGGCGAGATTCCTGTTTGAGCGAATATTGACGCACTCGGTGCGAGTGTGGGCTCGAGCCGCGCCTCGAACTCGTCAACCTTGATGTACGGCTGCCCTCGTTGGCGCGTCTTCGCGTCCGACAGCTTCGACTTGACGGCCTGGGCGTGCGAGATCCGCGCAGCTCGCGCAGCAGCATCGTCCTCGCCAAAGTCCATCACGTACTTGTACCTGTGGGACGTGCAATGTGGCGGCGAGGTGTGTCACGCTTGCAGGGATAGTGTCGTACCGCATATCTAAAGTGGCCCACGCGCGTACCAGACGCCGTCGGGCCTTGTGACCTAACTCTCGTACAGCAATGTGTGAGCGGGCAGAGAGGGTGTGGCGAGCTTGGCGCGAGCGAGAGACAAAACGGAGCCACCTGCGCCAGGTAGCCCCACGAGCGAGTCCACCTGCCGCCCTCTACGCGGGACTCCCAAAAGGAAGCCTGACCGCCAGGATTGTTGCGGCCTCGCTCGAGCTTGACCACGTCGTCGTCCGCGAGTGTGGCTGCAGACGAGCCCCTCGGACGATACGATGCGACAGCCTTTGCCCGCTCCTCGCGAGTGGAGACGCCGCTGGAAGTCACCTGCGAACAGATCGGAAGAGTCAGGCCCACTATACATCGGTGGCCACACCAGCAGGGATGGCGCCCTTGCGCGCACGATGTCCTTGGCGCCGCCATCGAGCACCCAGGCGAAGATAACGTACCCGTACTTGTCGACTAGGCCGTCCGTGCGGGCAACGGTGCCGGCGGCCACCGTGCGGATCGTGCTCTGCTCCGGAAACTTGACTATGAGCCGGTTCTGCGCCTCCCTGCGAATGGCGGGGGAGGCGAGGCAGACAGAGGGAGGGATGGTGCAGTCGGAAGAGGAGGGGGTCATGCGCTGCTACGCGGCACCTCTCTGCCTCGTCGCAGACGTGGGGGGACGGGTCGGCGACTGGAGCGATGTAGAAGGACAGATGCCCGCCCTCGTAAAGCTCCCGGAGCCGTGGCGTCGTGAGCGGCTTGCCGGTGTTGAGGTCGCGCACGACCGCGTCCGAGGAGCGAAGCGCGCGGGTCACCTACGCCAAAGAGTGTCCCGTCACTCACAAGAGCCCTCGAGGGGCTGGGGGGGAAGGGGGGGTGCAAAAAAGGGGGGCCTCCGAGCTCGACAGGGACACGAGTACGCCGTCGCTGTCGAATTGCGCTCTCGACACCTGTATACGGAACATCTATACGTGTGGAGTGTGCGAGCGAAAAGCACATGTGAAAGTGTGGCCTAAGAGGCACCCGGGCGCCGCCGACGTAGAAGCTTGCGGGCGAGGAGCTGTTGGCGAGCTTCTCCTCGGCCCATTTTACGACTGGCGCGACGAGGTTCTCGGCTCGGCCGAAGATCTCGTCTTTCGTGAGCACCTAGTAAAGAGCTGAGCACTAGTGGTGGCAAGGCATGCTACAGGAGGTGCGTTTAGCCTAGGGAGGCGCAGCGCCTCCCCCGAAGCGCGGACGAGGGCGGCCTGTTGCGCTGCCTTGCGGAACTCATTTGCTGGTCTGGTCATGCCAGCAGTGGAAGGCCTCGACTTCGCCTGGCCGGCCTCGATCTTCGCTATGTTCTCGGCCTGCGACGCCCCCGTGAGAGGGGTTGGGTGGGGGGCGGGTGTCGGGCGGGCGGCGGGCGGAAGGGAGGGGAGGGAGGTGGGGCGGGGCGCCGGGGAGGGGGGCCGTGGGGGGCAGAGAGCGAGGGGCGTGTGAGCGAGGGCGTGTGGCCGGACTGGGGCACACCGTGGTCGGCCTGAGGACAGTGCCCGCCGCCGAGGGCATCTCCTTCGCCTGGCCGGCCTCGATCTTCGCTCTGTTCGCGGCCTGCGACGCCCCCGTGAGAGGGGGTGGATGGGGGGCGGGTGTCGGGCGGGCGGCGGGCGGAAGGGAGGGGAGGGAGGTGGGGCGGGGCGCCGGGGAGGGGGGCCGAGGGGGGCAGAGAGCGAGGGGCGTGTGGCCGGGGTGGGGCCTAGGGTGGGGCAAACCGTGTGTGGCACTGTCCTCGTGCCCGCCTCGGAGGGCCTCGACTTCGCCTGGCCGGCCTCGATCTTCGCTATGTTCTCGGCCTGCGACGCCCCCGTGAGAGGGGGTGGGTGGGGGGCGGGTGTCGGGCGGGCCGCGGGCGGAAGGGAGGGGAGGGAGGTGGGGCGGGGCGCCAGGGAGGGGGGCCGAAGGGGGCAGAGAGCGAGGGGCGTGTGAGCGAGGGCGTGTGGCCGGACTGGGGCACACCGTGGTCGGCCTGAGGACTGTGCCGGCCGCCGAGGGCATCTCCTTCGCCTGGCCGGCCTCGATCTTCGCTCTGTTCTCGGCCTGCGACGCCCCCGTGAGAGGGGGTGGATGGGGGCGGGGTGTCGGGCGGGCGGCGGGCGGAAGGGAGGGGAGGGAGGTGGGGCGGGGCGCCGGTGACGCTCCTCGAGGGGGGCAGAGAGCGAGGGGCGTGTGGCCGGGGTGGGGCCTAGGGTGGGGCAAACCGTGTGTGGCACGAGGGCAGTGCCGGCCCTCGAGGGTATAATTCCATGCTTCCACGTGATTTGCACTGCCGCGAGCACGTCGCGAGAGTGGATGGCCTAACGGACATGACATGCACATGCTACAATCTCGAGTGATCTCAAGTGAACTTGAGCGGCAAGGCCGCCTCTAGACGGGCCGGAGGTGGCTTCCCTTCATGGGAGGCGGACATCATCGCCGCGTTTGTTCTCACGAGCTTCTTCCTCTGGTTAAAAGTCATGTCCTTGAGGTCTGGCACGTGCACGCCATTCGCCTGGAGATATTCGCGGATGTCGGCATCAGTAGCTAGAGCTGGTCCCGGATAGTCGTCCACGCCGCTTCCCACAAGAATTAGTCCACCAATAAAACCATTAGGCGGCTGGTGGTAGCGGAAGGCGTATGGGAAGTACTCCGACATGTTCATGCCTGATAGGAGCATAGGACAGGGATGGAGATACATTTGTGTTAGGGATTTGATGTGGAAGAAAGCCAGCACCGATAAAGTAGTTGCGTTCCCGAGTCGTCAACTCGCTCCCGTCCTGCTGCAGCTCGTAGGTGAGGTGCTGCGTCCAGCTAGACGAGGCCACCAACTGCGCCAAAGTGGCCGGCCAGTCCTTTAGAGGCACGCGGATCTTGCACATGTCGCTACTGCCGCTTTGCCTCTGCCTCTTTGCCGCCGGCATGTCCTCGGCCTGCTCACCTGTGGCCAGCCCTCGAAGACCCTGGCCAAGGCTGCGCGGCGCTGTGTCAGCCACAATTGGCCAGCACGAATCTGAAGAATCGGGCTCCTCATATGCCCATGGCAGCCGAGGCAGTGCGCCGCCGAGGCTGAGGCCAATGAAGGCGAGTCCGAGCAGGAGGCCGCCGACCACCCCGCCCGTTCTGCTGACGGAGGAGCGGGAAGACCCGCTCGGGCGGCGCGACGCGGAGATGTCGTCCGTATCGATCATCTCGACCTGAGAGTATTGCATCTTGTCGAGCGACTCCAGTCGAGAGAGAGGAAGCAGGAAAGAGCGGCTCGCGATCGACTTCCGATGACCAACTTAAAGAATTTGGACAGGAAAGGGAGCTTAGCGAAACTCTCTCTCTCCGACTTAAGAAATTTTCGACCTCGGGACTGGCGCGAATTGCTTGTGGGTGCAAGCACACGTGGGAATAGCCTGCAACGCATACGCCGACGCGGTGGCGACAGCATACCTCGGAAATAACGACACGGAGGACGTTGGGCTCAACGAGGTTTGCCTCTCGCACCCCGTCTGTTTTCCTTTCCTTTTTTCTCTACAACACCCTCTGTTTTCCTCTCTATTTTCCGGGGAAAACGCCGTTAAAATCGTCATTTTTTGGGCTCTGAGCTGAGTCTGAGGCTGTTTTGGGGCCAAAACCAGCAAAATCGGCAAAATACCGGTATTTTGCGGGTATACTAACTTTTTCATGGTACATACCTGGAAAATACCCGGGTCGTTTGCCGATTTCCTCAATTTTGCCTCAGATTTTGCCCCAGACCAGCTCTCAGACTCAGGGAAACTCGCGAGTTTCCCGAGGGAAACTCGAGAGAAACCGAATGGACTCAAGAGAAGCGCCTGCGCCAAGCTCAACGCAGCGTTTGTCGCAAGAGAGTTTGGAAAAAAAGAAAACCCGTGGGCCCTCTGGTTCTTTCTTTCTTTCTTTACAATGGTGTTGGCGCCGACAGCTGACGACGGGATTGGATTGCTAGTGCGTATCCGTCCGGGACGAATGCTACCATCCGCGGACCTTTTTTATTTCTTTGCGCTGATGCAACAAATGACGTGTGAGTGGAGTGTTTGGTTCCCCCCCCCCCCCCCCCAAACTTTAAACCACCATAAACATCAGTCTGCCAGGGCTCCACCTCCAGGCCCCAAAGCGGCCTACCGGCCTTGTGACCCTTGTCCGCTGCTGTCCCCGGGTCCCCGCAGCTTGAGCTGCCCCTGCACGGCGACCATCGCGTTGGCGGTCTGCGCAGCAAGTTGATCTCTCTCGCTCTGCCGCCGCCGCCGCGTCCACGGGGCGGTCCGTCAGCGGGTCGTCGCGCAGCCGCCCATCGGCGTCGGCAGCCAGCCTCGATCATGGCAGCTTGTTCGCTTGGGAAGACTGCCCAAAAGAACTTCACCGTCCTCCACATCGATCTCGAAAGAAAGGGAGGGACCAGTCCGGAGTGCCCCGCGACGGCTGCCGCTAGAGATGCCCCGCGACGGGCGGAAAGAAACCCCCTATCTGCTAAGGAGCCCGAACCCCCGGTCTGTATGACCGCTGAAGAGTGATACATGCGCGCTCGCGGCAAGCAGGGCGCCGCCAGCGAGCCCGAGACGGACTCGCTGTCTGACACCTCGGACACCGACAAGTACGCAAAGCGCAGCGACGACAGCTGCAGTGCGGGCCTCAGCGACGGCCGCGCGCTGCGCTGGCTGCTCGGCGCGGGCGTGTTGACTCGCTTCTACGGCCTCGCGTGGCCCGACGAGGTGGTCTTTGACGAGGTGCACTTTGGAAAGTTTATCACCGGATATTTGACCGGGCAGTACTTTTTCGACATCCACCCGCCGACCGGAAAGCTGCTCATCGCCGCCGTCGCCTGGGCGAGCGGCTTCCGCGGCACGCAGCCGTTTCAAAAGATCGGCGAGGCGTACCGGGTTGGCACGAACCTCTTCGCGCTGCGCGCCCTGCCGGCCGCGTTCGGCGCCGCGCTGCCGCCGCTCCTGTTCTCGCTCGCGCGGCAGCTCGGCTGCTCCTCCGCCTCCTCTCTCTTGGTCGGGTGCCTCGTCCTCCTCGACGGCGCGACGCTGGTGCGGCGGCCCTCCCGACACATCCCCTCCCGACGCAGACGCGGCGCAGCAGCTCCCAGCACACACCTCCCGGCGCAGAGAAGCACGTCACGGGGGCACGCGCCGCTTCGCACGCGCATGCACACCCGCGCGCACACACACACACACGCGAACCCACTCGAACCCGCGCGAACCGGTGCTCTTCTTCCCCGAGCGTGCTCAGCCCGGCGCACGTGCTCGGCAGGTCGAGTCGCGCCTCCTGCTCACCGACTCGTCCCTCTTCTTTTGGGAGGCGACCCCCCTCTCCCCCCCCCCCCCCCCACACACACACACAACTCGGGAGATGTGGAGGCTCTGACTCGGAAGGGTCTCTCACACCCTGTGAGGCGTCCCGCAGGCTCTGCAGCTGCTCTGCGCGCTGCGCGCCTCCGCCGCCCCCGCCAACGGCGCCGCCGCCCACACTACACCTCACGCGCACCCGCTCGCGCCTCCTCACGCCGTGCGCTGTGAGCAGGCGCCGCCTTCCACGCCTACCTCGCCCTCACCGGCGTCGCGATCGGCGTGCCTCCCGCGCCTCCCGCGCCCGCAGACGGACGCCCGGCCCCTTACTCGCGGAGGGTGCGCGTGTGTGCGCGCCCGCAGGCGCCGCCGTCTCGACAAAGTGGACCGCCCTCGCCACAATGGGCGTGGTCGGGCTCGACTCGCTTCGCCAGCTGCTCGCCGCTGCGCATGCCGCCCTCGACTCTGCCTCCCGCCCGCCCGCCTCGCCGCCCCTCCCCCCGCCCGAGGGCCTTCTCGAGGACTTGCTCGCCGGGGAGGGAGAGGCGCGCCGCGGGAGGGCGGAGGAGGAGGGGATGGAGGCTGGCGACGCGGTCGCGCGTATGCTCGAGCGAAGCGACGCCGCCCACGGCCCGTCCGCTGCCGCCCCGCCCCCCGGCGGCAGAGCTTTCCCCGCGGCGGTCGATGGCGGTGCTGCCGGCGGCGGCGGGGCTGGCGGCACTGGTGGCGGCGATGGCGACGCGAGGCGACGCACCTCCGCCGCGCTCGCGCCCGTGGCGATGGAGGCGATGGCTCGGCTCGTATGGCTGCTGCTGCTGCCGGCGACCATCTACCTCGGCAGCATGGCGCTGCACCTGAAGCTGCTCCCTTTCGCCGGGCGCGGAGACAACTTCCACCCAAAGCCCTTCCGCTGTCGGCTCGGGCTTGCGCCGCGCCGCGGACCGCGGGCTGCCGTCACTTTGCCCGTCACGTGTCCGCGGCTTGACTCGCACAGGCTGGCGCCACGCCGCGACCCCGACACGGGCGCCGTGCTTGGCCCCGCCACTCCGCAGGCCGACTGCTACTAATGAACTCGTAATGAACGATCAGCTATCAAAGGAGTCGGCCCCGCCACTCCGCAGGCCGACTGCATCGCCGCGGGCTGCGCGGCGTGCAGGGGGCAGGCGCCTTCCTCCCCCTCTCAAGCCCCTCCTCTCCTCTCCCACTCTCCTTCTCCCTCGCCTCTCGCCCCTCGCCCCCCTCTCCCCCCCCCCCCCCCCACAAAAACACACAAATCGGGAGATGTGGAGGCTCTGACTCGGAAGGGTCTCTCACACCCTGTGAGGCGTCCCGCAGGCTCTGCAGCTGCTCTGCGCGCTGGGCGCCTCCGCCGCCCCCGCCAAAGGGGCCGCCGCCCACACTAAACCTCAAGCGCACCCGCTCGCGCCTCCTCACGCCGTGGGCTGTGAGCAGGCGCCGCCTTCCACGCCTACCTCGCCCTCACCGGGGTCGCGATCGGCGCGCCTCCCGCGCCTCCCGCGCCCGAAGAAGGAAGCCCGGCCCCTTACTCCCGGAGGGTGCGCGTGTGTGCGCGCCCGCAGGCGCCGCCGTCTCGACAAAGTGGACCGCCCTCGCCACAATGGGCGTGGTCGGGCTCGACTCGCTTCGCCAGCTGCTCGCCGCTGCGCATGCCGCCCTCGACTCTGCCTCCCGCCCGCCCGCCTCGTCGCCCCTCCCCCCGCCCGA